ACATGGGGTATGATTTTTTTGCACGTAAATTTTCGATTGTAAAATTTCTCTCAATTTTTTTGCAAGTTCGATTGCGCCCCCCTAATTTTTATGGTCTGCGTCCACCTTTGGATAGGGATGTTTTTGTTCATGTTCACTAAGAGACTTGGACTTGGAATGTTAGAGCTTTGAAGCTAAGTAGTCTAATTATGAGTTATTTTGACTCGACTGTACACTTAGCAAGTGTGTTTCGCTTGGTATCCATGTAAGCTTCATCGAAAACCTGTATATTAAAAGATCTATGAATTTACATATTCTCATAGAGATAAGATCGTCAACATACTTGGCACAGAGTCATTTGATTCTCTCAATCTTGTTAATCATGGTTATTACTATAAATCGATCACATATTTATGTCCACACAAACTTCAACTACAACTTAATTTACTTATAAATCTTTATGAACTTACATGCTTGCTCTAGAAAATATAGTTCCGAAGAAAAAGAAAGAAAGTGCCAAGAACATGCAAGACAAATTTTATTTGACCATAAGGCAACATGCAGCCGTTTGGTAATAGGGAATGTTTCCCCTTTAAATTTGTCTTCATTTGTATGATGCATCAAGCTGTAGGTTTTCATTTTGAACAAGTTTTCTTCCTTGTAAACATTTGGCATTTTTCAAAAATTTAAGCCCCACAATGACCAAAGATGTTTATTTTATAGGAATATTTTGTATTTTCCTGACTAAACTATGACATTCTTGCCATTGAACAATTTTTCAAGTTATATATCTAAATATTACATCTCAATTCTTAGTGATGTTTGGCAAAGCTTTTAAGTGATTTTAAATTGATCAAACATCATCTTTAACCATACATTCTTTAGAATTCACAATTTTTATCTGCATTTTGACAAAACTTTGAGACCTAAACCCTATTTGGTGTAGCTAAAAATCATATTTTTGGTAATTTTTAATGTAAAAAAAAAATAATAAACTTTATGAATCATAGTTTTGTGTGTGGTTAAAATTAATTGTTTACGTTAACCTAATTAAATTTATATCAACTTTTTAAACTACTCCAAAAATAGCATAGTAACAGGGTCGCAAGAAAGAATAGGAAAGGTGATTTTACTATGTTTCCGAGCATAGCCATATTGTTTTGTTGGGACAACTCTAAAAAGACAAACTGCCTCTCTTTTCTTATCATCTTAAGAAAATTACAATTGGTAGGGACTAATTCAAACCCCTCCAATAAAATAAGAAAAATCCTTACATTCGAATCTTGCCGATAGCAAAGGAATTCGAACAATTGCTTCTAATACAATATGAGAAAGTACTGCTTGTGATACCTTGATATTCAAGAATACAATATAAACGAGTTGAACATTACTAAAAGTAGATGAAAGATCAGTCAACTACACTTTGGTAAAAAGAGCAATGAACCTAAATGTACTTTCTTGCTTTTGCTAGTAGTACTCAATGAAGCCAATAATTGCTATAGTTGCCTTTCATCAAGGTCGACATCAGTGTCTCATCTGTATCAATACATTAATAATTACCCTCAAAGAAAATAGTGACAATCACCACAAAACTCACCTTTTTACTCATAAACAAATAATTGACAAAGAAAATGTCATTACTATAGGAGCTCAATCCCAGTTCCCAGACTTGGCACATTTGGTTTTTTGGTACAAACAAAGCCTCGGCTTCTTTGTCTTCAATGTTATCGGGTTTACAAGACCAGAACTCGCGCCTGCAGGAACGTAAGTTCGAGCACTTAAAACCATGGGAACCTCCTCCATCAGTTCTCTGCGTAATTATAAGGAAATTCCCGGGTTAGGTTCACCGTGCTTCAAAATATAGAATAGACGAAAGGCAATTTGCCACTTGTAAGAAAATCAAAATATACATTCTCACGAGTCAAAAAAGCAATTCGTCACTACTTGCAAAATAAGGCGAAAGAAAGACACAGGCAATTTCTTGCAGGTAGCTTCTATAATTGAGAAAAAGCAGCAGACTGTTCCTCATAGATGGTATTTCCCGAAAACTAACTTGCCATTATTCCGACAAGTCTCTTGGTCTCTTTGTTAATGAATTTCATATACAAGTGATGCATTCAAGGTCTGTCTTCAATGACCAAACCAACTTTCTAGCTATAAACATATGTAAACAATATTCATTTGGGTTAAAGAGATGTATTTTTGAACAGAGATCCATAAATTTTGCAATAAAAAATTCCAGCATCTCACAGATTGTGAACAGCATTTTTGGTGGGTCAATCTTTCACAGTAGAACCCCAAACCTCCAGGTCTACCTCATCACCCACAAGGAAAAATATGACAGTGAGAAAATTAAGTCTTCAAAATCAACTAAAAAGAACAAGTCTCAAAGATCAATTCATTTACCGACATAAGAATACAAGTCGAGGCTCCCCATCGGTAACACCAAGTGCAATTTCAAGTTATTAGTTTTGGTTCTTAACGATCACAGTCGCTGACTCATAGAGGAATACACTGTAACCTTCCCACAATTTCGGAAAATAATGGTCTAGCTTATCACTTCCCCAGTGTTCTTTTAATCATGGTCAAAATCAATCTACAGTCCATTAAGTCTGCCATTGCACTTGATTAAAAAAGACAGAAGAATACAGGAGCATTAGTAACTGCAATGTTAAAATAAAAACATAATCTAAAAATATCAAGTACAAGAATCCAGATGTGAAGTTGAATTTTATAGTTACTATTGAAGATAAAAATAAATAATGCTCCTCGCTCTCTATGCATGATATCAGGGCTTGGTTTGGACTTGTACTGGTGATCACCTTCACTCTGTATTTCTCTCTATCAGCACCAGTTAAGTCTACATTTTAGATTTAAAAAGCATACCTTAATACTAAACTCTGGAATAAAAAAACATTATCCCAGCCGCATTTCCTTCTCCCCAAAATTATACCTCACACACTTAAAAGAGATAGGATGGAATGTTTTGTCAATCGGTATGGTTGAGAGGACGGAATCAATTTTTTGCACATTCAAGTAAATTTTAAATAAAATAAATTGGTCCATAATGACTTGGGTATCTGATTACCTCAGAATCTTATGCCGAAAAAATGGTGTATTATGGACTTATAGCTAAATTGCCAAGATGTCTTTAAACAGCTAACTCTGCAAGATCGAGTAGATGAAATCGAGATAGAATAGACACGAATTATCATCACTTTTAACTGATTCTCTAGAAATTGAGATTAAAGTATAACGCCCAAAAAGACCAGAAGAATTTATTGCTAGAAATTGCAGATGGTGTTAAAAATAATTCTTCCCACCTCCCACTGGGTTACAACCCACTTCATATTTTTAAGAAAAAAGAACTAACCACCAATCAATAAATTAGCTCCAAAAGCAGTTTCCCTTCCAGAAATTTCATGTGGCTTCTATTACACCCGATTGAGCCATGACAACTTTCCAGTTTTTTGCTGAAAGCAGGTAATAATTTACCATTCAGGTTCAAGAATTTCATACATCAATCTCATTAAATGCAGCAACACTCGGTATTATATAATCCTGCATCAGTAAAAAGATGTAAATTGATCTTGGAACTGTCATCTTGCATCATAAAATGAATAATGGATGAACTAAGCGTTCAAACGAAAAATTTAAGGTTTGAACGTTCAAATCACAGACTGACCTGCATTACCACTATTATGGTAGAAAAAGACGAAGGGCGTCGTATCCAGTTGCAAAAACTATATCAGGTTGGATCCATCTCCTTGAATGACTTCCTTGAAGCATAAAGGAAAGAAGCTGTTGCACCTTTTAGGAGATGACTTAAGGTCTTAATCTAAAATCGTGTCGACTATTTAGTCTCACTACAGCGATGGAATCTTTAATGCACTAATTCACAAGCCAAGGAACAGATGAAGATAACACCTCCTACGTCTCTTGGAATTTCCTTATGGTTTCAATCCCATGAGTTAGAAACTATCAAACAGCTTCATCTGTACCAATGTGAACTGAAAAAAGGCCACTGTGGATTCATCATACAGTATTAAAGTTCACATGAACTTATTTCGATACCAACTGTTCCTAAAGATTTATGTCTTCAAAATACTTGATAAAGGATATTGATTGCTGTAGAAGTATCAGTTGACTGCAGAAGATTTTTCAGGCATTGTAGCTTAAAAGTTATAGAAAGCATCATAAAGTGAGATTCACATGCTCATAAATCGCAAGCATCGTCAACAATGAGAAGCTGTATGAGTTGCCTAGTCCTCTGCACTAGCATAATAGAACTTGTAATGGGCCAAATTTGAAATTCATCTATCATTTTAAATAACCTGTTAATCTTAACTGAATTTAAATAAAATAGCTCATGTTGTTAACAAACCTGCATGATCAACACGAACAACTTTAGTTAATTTGACATGTCAGGCTCATTGCCCAGATAATAAATTTGTGGATAGGAAGTTTTGAACTCTCAAACTAGTAAGTTTTATAATATTGCCCGAGGATAATCCAATGTTCTGAGGCCAATAGATAAGTGCATTCCCAGCTTTTGTCAACAATGTGAGCTTGATACATCTTTGAAATGAGTGGGGGGGCTGAAAAGCTAAAAGTTCATGACTACATCATTTCATCTTTGATTTAAAGTAGGAAGAAAATTTTGGAATCTAGCCTAGATATTCCAAATAGTTTGCATCTTTGGACAAATATCTAGAACTATAGACACTGCGAATTCATCTGGGGTGATATTTCTCTCTTTCATTTTCACAAGAAGTTCAATAACTTTTGATGCCTTATTATAATAGCAAAATCCTTGCATAAGCATATTAAAAGAAGCCAAATCGGGTGCACAACCTTCATTTTCCATGTTGAGTAACAAATTATTTGTCTTCTCCATTTCTCTGTTTTTTACAAAATCCATGGTTCATGATGTTATAAGTAAAAGCTGTTGATTCCAAGCCCTTATGAGGCAACTTTGCAAATAGCTCAATGGCTAAATTGAGCTCTCCTACTTTACACAATCAATCAAGGACACAATTATAGGTATCAATGACAAGATTAAAGCTACATCTTTCTAGGGTGTGAAACCGCTTCATTGCCTCTGTAACGCAATTATTTTTAAAAGGTCCACCCAATAATGTATCATAAGTAATAGAATTCGAAGTCACTTCATGGACTTTCATCTCAGCGAAAATTGTCCGTGCATCCTCAACTTTACGTACTTGAAATAGGCCAGCCAACAGAACGGTGAATGTAATTACATTTGGCTTGCATTCTCTGCTTACCATTTCTTTGAAAAGCCTCATGGCCTCTTCCACTTTCTGACACTTGCAATACCCATTAATTAACACGGTGTAGCTTACAACATTTCGCTTGTGGCCTTTAGCCTCCATCAAATCAAATAACTCCCTTGCCTCTTCAATCCTACTATCTAAGCAGAGCCATTCATTAATGCACTAAATGTAATATAATTGGGCTCTTCACCCCTTTGAATCATCAAGTTCAGCAACCCAAATGCTTCGTCAATCTTCCCCTCATTACAAAGTACATGTATCAAGATAGTAAACAATGTTACATTAGGACGAATGCCACGATCCACTATTTGAATAGGGAATCGCTTTGCCCCCTCCCAATCACCGCCCTCACACAAACCATGAATTAAACCAATAAATGTAACCATGTTTGGCATAATTCCCCTACCCTTCATCTCCAAAAATAATTGTTTACCCTTGTCCAGCAATCCCTCTTTACAAAAACCATGAATAAGTGCGGAATAAAAAATTAAGTAAGGCTTGAATCTCAAATCAGACCTCCCCTTACTGTTCCCCACTTCTCTATAAAACCGAAGAGCAACCTCAGCGTTTCCGCTCCTACATAACCCATTTATCAATGTGTTCCAAGTTGTAACATCTGGTTGAAAACCCAATCCAATAATTTTATTCAACAATACAACTGCTTCATTAGTCTTCTCTTCCAAACAGAACCCTTTAATCAATGAAGATAAAGTAACAATATCAGGACTATAACCCTCTTGAAAATCAAGCCCATAACAGCAGAACCAAGAAAAACCCTTTTCAAGCTACCATAAGAATTGAGCAAAATATTCAGTGTTATGGAATTTGGAAATATATCAGCTTCAACCATCCTACGATATATAAAAACCACATCTTGATAATTCTTGGTTTTGGCAACGGCACCCATCAATTGGTTAAATGACGAGATGTGTGGCGAGGGTTTCATTTTGAGCATATTATGAAAGGAGGTTAATACATCACTGGTGTTGATTTCTGAGCATGATTTACAGTCTTTTTTTAAATTTCCATGTGGGGTTGATGAAACTTGAAAGTGTACCTCTTTGGGCAGTTCTAGAAGCCATTTCTGATGTGCCGTCACGACAATGGATCGCTGAGTTAGGAAAATTATAGTTGTTTGATGGAGATTAAAATTATATTTTTGGTAGATTTTAATAAAAGTTCATAGAATGTGTGATTGAAAAATTGTAGGATTAATATTGATTGTTTGAATTTAATTTTAATTAAAATTTGATTTTAATCATTACATATCTCTTCACAACATTTTCTTGCTCCCTGTGGATTGTCTTCAATTTTTCTACCCTTACGCAGTTTTTAGGATTTTTTTCACAGTAGTCCCCAACTTTTGGAAATTTTGCACGTTCATTTTCATTCTTTGGGTTGCCCCTTTAATTTTCTTTTTTTAAACATCATAATTTAAAATTAGATACATTTATATATCTTTTATTTTAAAATGGTTCCATCTTGATCATTTATTAAAACTCCATTTTTAAAAGTAAACAAAAGATTTTAAAATGTGAAGTACTCGTTGAAAATAATATTCATTTCGAATTTAGCCCATGTTTAATAGCTATTTTTAAAAAATATATATATATATATTCATTTTCAATCACACATTCACATAATATTTTATATGAAAACCTAAAAAATTTCCTTACTTTTTATATTTTTTTCTAAATAATGGCCATCAAACGTGGATTTAATCTGGCGATCAGACTGATTTTTCTCAACTTAAGTAAATATAGAAAATTTACAATATTATTAATAAATTAAAGTAATTTCAATTATCTTTTATATTTTAACTCATTGTTCAATTATTGTAGATGTTCAGATGGTTTAAATATTTATAACTTAGCTTCCCCTTGTCTTGAAAGAATTCGCATGCAGCTGCTAGTTCTTAGAACTAGATTTAGTCCATGTTTGACCCTTATTTCTAAAATTTATTATTCTTAAAATTATTTTTAAGCACGTATTTAATATAGTTGACAATTTTTATTAACTTTTCAAACACATATTTCATGAACTTTTATCCAAATCTACTGAGATGGTGTTTGGTTGGGATTAAAATTAGATTTTTAGTAAATTATAATAGAAGTTTTTGAAATGTGTGGTTGAAAAGTTGTGGGACTCATGAAAAATTTGGTTAATATTGATTTTTTTTACTTTGACTTGGATTAAAAGATTTTAATCCGAACCAAATATGGGCTGAATATTGTATTTTTTGCTAAACAAAACAAGAGTTCAATGTCTTTGTCCTCAACAAAAAGATACTCTTTACCTACACAAACTGAATATGCTCGTGTAGCACTTCTCATGTCTATGTAACAGTGTCCCAAATGTCCACGACAAAATGATTGGGCTCCTATATACGTATTATAGGATTAAAACAATAATGTTTACCGTCATAAGATCGTTCATGCTGGATTATCAAGAACTGATTAATCAAAAGCGGAAGCGTACCTGGATCAGACATGATTATCGCAATGAATAAGTCCTGCGATTTTAGTCTTCCAGATCAACACGTTGTTCCTTAGTTTCTCTCTGAAGATGGGAATCGGAATAGAATGAATAGAACGTGTGATCCGAGAACCATAACCGTATATTTATACTGATTGCCCATTGACCTAATTCGGCCCATCATGGAATTAGGAATAGGCCCGGTCTCTACACATATGAGCCCAT